ACACTTGGCTTGCCACATTAGTCGAGGACCATCTAGTGGCTGCAAATGGTAATGTTTAATATTTTTCATGTCAGAATGAATGAAAGCGTCAGATCTCAGCCAAAAATTGGGTTAAATATGTGAAAAAAACATGTATTAGTCGCTTCAGTGTGTAAGTCGCAGGACTTATGCAAAAAGGTGTGAATTATATGGCGAAAAATACAGTAGTACATTTTTATGACATCGAGTCAATCCAATTTAAAATGACAAGATTAGTCAACACAAAAAAGGTCACTAATCTCAGATTTATGGATATTAAGCTAAAATTGGATGTTTGTTGGTGATTTATACACTTTAAATCACCGCGTGAGTCAAACATTTTCAAGGTTTGACCAAAACGGCTACAACTCCATCATTTCTCAACTAAACATTAATCTGAAACTCTGCTAGGCAGGATGCATTCCTCTGAGTAACGTTGGACATTTATTTACGAGGTAGCGGTGGAAGCGTGGTTGTAGCTGCGTCGTGTTGCAGCGTGTCGCATCGCTGGAGGCCCTGGCCGTTTCACAAGTTGGCAGTGGATTCGAAAACAGTCAACCGTGACGCCTTGAGCCGCATTCCTGCCGAGCTAGAAGTTTATTTGCTAAAAAGTGGCTTCATCCATAATCATCCTATGGTCAGCAAACTGTTTGAGAAAGGCTTTCAGATGCAAAGAATAAAGATTTAAGTGACTTTTTATAATTTTGTCTAGACTTGTTGTTTGCAAACCTTAATACGAACAACAGATGTAAAGAAAAATCTACAAAAAGGCAACATCTATCAATTTGTTTAAATATCCTCGTGTTGTCTGCTGGCGTCCGTCTAAACTCATCTGAGAGGGAAATGTTGTGAACGGGCGTGGCAGATCATTTCTCACCGGTTCATCGACCCGACTCTTAAGAAAAAGAACAGCAGGTGACTCTGAAGTGTTCAAATATTTAATAAGTGAGGAGGCAGAGGAGGAGGAGGGCTGAGCTGTGGTTTGAGGTTTTCCTGAAGCATGACGGGAGACTCCCTCTGGAAAAACTGACGGAGCAGAGCCGCATGAGGACAACTCAGAGCTTCCAGCCTCCTGCCCAACACAAAGGAAACTTCTCTGAGTCACATGTGAAGAAGCCACACTCTGCTGATTAGAGCACTGTAAGTGAAGTGCACGCCTCCCTCCTGAGAAAAACTAATCTAAAGTTTTGGTCTGTGTGTTAGAACTTTGTTGATTTTATTGAAACTCAGGAATAATTGGATTCAAGATGGCTGCCACAGCTAAGCTCAGCAAACACAAAAAACATCTAGAACTCAGCCAACTTTACGGATATTAAGAGTACCCTATTTTTCGGACAATAAGGCGCACTTCAAATCCTTTATTTTCAAAAATCAACAGTAAGCCTAGGGCTGGACAATAATTCGATATCGATATATATCGCGATATACTTTTATTCAATAACGGTGATATGAGTTTTAAGCACGTTGTCGATATTTCGATATGATTACAACGTTTCACTGACGCATTTTTTTTTCCTGTTCGTGTTGAAGCGGTCGCTTCAGTTTCAACCCCGACAGAAAAAGGTGAGACGGCTACGTAAGTGCGTGGTGACGTAGATGTTACTCAGAGCTCGTGTCCAGAAGGAGCTCGTTAGCGGTAGCAGGCTAGGCTAGGCTAATCTCCAACGCGCAGTAAGTTTTCACTTCAAAATGAGTGCCCAAGACTGTCAGAATGTGACTGAACAAGCTTTCACAAAAGAAGAGAAAGCAGATGACATCACTGATAAGGGAGGAAAGACTAATTCGGCGGTGTGGAAGTGGTTCGGCTTTCTAAGATCCGATAAAACTACAGGTTTCAGTCAGTGTGCTGCAAAATGTGACGGAGAGTCGTTCCAACTAGCGGTGGGAACATCTAACTTGTTCCAACATCTGAAGAGTTTCCACTTGATAGAATATATTCTATCTATAGAGTCCGAAGATGAAGCACAATAAAAGTTTGAGCCAACGTGTCCCTGAAACACCCCCAGCTGTATCAAGAGAAACCCATGAAACAAACGTTACGTTATGTTTAAAGTTAAAACTATTAATATTGACAAAGTTGTTTTATGTTTGACAGTAAGCTCATATTATTTTTGAAGGCTAAATACAAATAAAAGATGAACACTAATTTATTTGTACAGTTTTTCTGAGGATTTTATTTTATTTTCCTACTAAGAGGAAACAGCTCTACTAACTGAGCCCCTAAACCTAAACTAAGGACTCTCAGTTTGAAATATGGCATGTCATTTTTAATAGTTTTAGGGCAGTACAAACTATTTATAAGGTTTTCATTGATTGCTGCACATTTTCTCCAGCACTGCGGAGTTGTTCATTGATTTTGCGCCTTATAGTCCGAAAAATACGGTAAAATGCTGCGTGGTGGTAGATGAGTCATCCTCAAACACCAACAGATCACACCATCTTATTTACAAGGTTTGATTAAAACGGCTCCAACTTCATTTCTCATAAAATGATCTCAAGTTTAAAACTCTACCTTAAACTCTCTGGTTTAAAATATATTTTGTTGTTGTCATACACCCAAGTGTCAGAACAGGGTTTAAAAGCTAAATTTAAAATAATGACCGCAGCATGACTGAGGTCTTGTGATTGTGCGTCACTGCTGGGCACCCGCTTCGTTTAACCACTGCTGCTGCTTCCCGAGTCATGTGAAGTCACCGGAGCCACGCCCGAAAACCACCTCCCGCCGGGAGACGTCCTCCACAGCTCGGGAAACATACTTCCTCCGCCTGTTTCAAGAAAACTGACATTCTTTTGTGTCTCGGAAGCTTTAAAACACAAGAAAAAGGCGAAAGAAACATGAAAAGAAAATAGAAGTTTATTGAGATTCCGAATCTTGCTCACGTTTCTGAAGTCGCACAAACAAACGGAGGTAAAATCCGGACAGGTACCGTGAATCTCGGTAAACCTAAAAGCTAAATCTGTTGCAGTCAGACACAAAAATAAACCAAGCAGGTGGT